AGGCCGCGAACTTTCCGATGCAATTGTCTGAGAATACAGCCGACATGGGTATAGGCTGGATAGCCTTTTTGGCTTGTGATTTTAAAATGCATTTGAAGACAATTGTCTATATCACTTTTTCAAGATGGATAAAAGTCTTCCTGTATTCTCTTTCTGAGCTCCCTGATAAATATACCCCATACTGTTTTTTTTTCGTCGCAGGTGAGAAAGTATATTGCGTTTTTTACACACAGTTCGATGGTACGCTGACATAGGTGCTAATCTAGAAACCGGCAATCAAAGATTGTCTGTATGCATTACTATCTATGTCACAATATTTCCAATAAGTTTTGTGTCTAATCTATTCTTACCTATGTATCTAGAATACATCCTTGCTTCTATCCCTGCTTTTGAAGAATTGTACAACTCGATAATAACTAAAGTTTATACTGACAGCACTGACCTTGAAATCTTAGCGAAGTGAAATTCTAGTTCTCTTGCCCCTTGACTTTCTTTTGCCAGCAAATATCTGTGAATGCTTTATACTGTTCAAAATTTAAAGTGCAGAAGCCCAAAGACAGACGTACTGAGATACTCCGGTGAAATCTCACCATTTTACACAATTTCAGAATACTTGCCTTCTAACAACCTTAGCTTTAGAGTCCTTTTGTCCACATTGTTAAAGGCAAGTGTGTTTATAAATACCAAGTTTTGCCGGATCAAGCGCTTTGAAGCGCAGGCGGTATCATAATCTTCTCTCTCATCCGGTGTTAGCACTCTTCCAACAGCTACCCATTTGTCTATGGATTGAGACGTAAGTTTATCTTTTTCCAAGCACATTATCATAAGGACAGTATATTTTTTGACCCCTGGTCTTTGTTTACCATACATTCGCTGTATTTTCTGCATTCATGCCTTGAGATGCCTAAAATTCCTAACAATGATGCTCATATGCAGGATCGTGTTTGTCATTACTTACCTAGATGGCCCGTCTTCACGGAGCGTGCGAACCCCGCACAGAAGTTTCCGATTCCTGTCCCTCGTTTCGGACATCCGCGACCTTGACTGTTGTCGAAGTACCTGCGTCCACGAGTTCCAGGTGCGGGAAGCTTTTCCAGCTAATTTCTCAGCTAGTCCATCCGTTCCACGAAAACGTCTGCCTATCTTGCTGGCGGTTTCCTTGGGGACGTTTTGCTTCGCGAAGAATTCAATCTGATGTTTCAAGTGTGTTTGTGACTATGACTTCATATTTAAAATGCACGTATGGCAAGTTTTGTCCCATTCATTTGTCAAATGTAAATAATCAAGATGAAAGATCTACAAGGAGGTGATATACAGCAAACAAATGTGCAATACAAAATACATAGAACATGTATACGTCTATTATTTCAAATCCATTCTGGCTACAGTTCCGGCCATGTGGCGGCCATGGAGAAAGTCGCTGACACTTAGTGGTGGGCTGAGAGGCGCTAGGTACAAGGTGATGAGCACCTGACGCTGTTGGTTGAGAAATTGAGAGTATGCAAATCGAAGCTGTGCGATAGGGTTGGAAGACTGAACTTTTGGCAGGATGTGTCTTCGGTGCCCGTACAGGCGCTTGGCGAAAGGCTTTGCCTTCTCTTCTGCAAAAGCAAGTAGCTGTGACTCACTATAAATGCTGCATCCGCCCAGGATTTTCCTGCTTCTTTGTTGAAGGCAAAGACGCATTACTGTCGTTGAACTGTCTTTGAGACAGGGTAGAGATATCACGCCCACCTTCCCACACGGCAGGCAAAGATACAGCTTGAATTCGGCGCTGTACGCTTCAATGAGGGCTTGCTATTCGAACATGTGTTGTGCTGCAGCAGGTGCAAGCTTTCTTGAGACCTTCCATCGTGGGGAGAGTTGAGTTTGGTAAAAGAGGTTGTGTGTCGTATATTTAAAGATTGGCAATAAGAGCATGCACTCCCTCGATATTGAAGTCTACTTATTTCTGTAGGATTTCCATGCGCTATAGGGCTCGGACAAATAAGCTTAATCATTTGCATATAAAATAGTTTCCTCAGACTTTTTCAGAACGATCTCCTTCATTATACACTGTAGACTATTCCATCTGTGCTTCTATAGTGAGCGAATATGTGAAACAAATATTGCGCTGTCCTGGAACATAGTTAACACAACTCACGGCTGAGATCAGAATTTTGAAGTAGAATGGATAAACACTTGCAATGCACAATCTATCATTTATTCATGATGAGGAGATAGACAAGACACTTATGTTTCTATCGGTTCAGCACGATAAAGGCAGTATCTCTCAAGATTAAGTTGTCGAGATTTTTGCATATTGCAAACCTTTTCGGCCCTGTTTGACCCAGTGCGGGCCCGCAATCGCATAACATGCACGAAAGCCCCGTGGAAATCATGCGGACAAGTGGTACCTTTTCAGTCTAGCCCTCGCCACGGCGGCAGCACTATGGGGTGGACGTCAGGAGGAAGGACATGTTGGAACGCGTAAGGAGAAAACCGGGAGCGTTGGCCGTACGGGCCAAATCCGGCCACTTTGAGGGCAATTTTCTCGGCGTAGAATTGCCCGCATTGAATCGCACTTGGGGCGTTCGTCTGTTCCGTCTCTAGAAATATTTGAAGACCCGCACTACCCCAATTTTGGTGAGACACTGCCTTTAAGTTCAAAATCGCACTCACGATCTTTTGGGATAAAGATCATCAACGGCAAACTGCGCTTTGAGCACCTTCAACACAAAACAGGAATCTGCTGCTGATTTCGGGCTAGTAAATTGAGTATGACGTTTGTAAGCAAACGGGCCCATGATATTTTTTCGGTGTGCTTAACACGTTGACGACAACGCGTATTCTCACTTGTCTGCCTTCTGGGACAGAGCTTTTCACCAAGAACTTGAAATTTTTATTCTAAAATTAGGCAAAATATAATCTACAGTACATCTAGCGCAGCTCTGAGAGGATCTCGAGAAAATTGGAGGTAACTTCTAGATACAGCGCATAACAAAACCCTTGGAGTGAGTTTGTAACAAAGGAGAAGAGACTTTGACGAAATCCAAGCTATGACCCACCATGTGGGTCATGTTGTCGTCAATGTGTTAATATAGTCATATCTCTTCTAGAAAAACGGTCAGCACATAATGGATGCAGGTTTGAGCTTGGCGTCTCAAACCGGCTCAACCATATATGTTTTCTTACGGTTGGGTCGACCTAATGTCCTTCCCAAAGCAAGAGGGCGGATTTTGGACGAAGAGATAGTGTATCCATTAACCCTTTGACTAACTGGCTTGCCGGCTGGAAGGCGGGACTTCGTGATATATTAGGGCTAGATAATCAGAGTGCACGCGGGCGATAGAGGCGCAAACTGCGTCGCAGGCGCGAGCGGCCACCGTTAGCTCATAAAGCCCCGCCTTCCAGCCGCCAAGCCAATTGAGTCAAAGGTTTTGCAATCTTATATATAAAGCTGAATTTCTGTTTGTCTGTATGTCTGTATGTCTGTATGTATGTCTGACGTATGTTCCGAATAGAAAATTCCATTTCTGAACCGATCTGGACCAAACTTGGCACACATACACTTCGGGCTCCGGCGGGTGTCATAGGCTACTTTTCGCCATCGATCGATATCGATTTTATCGATTTTTTGCAAAATTTGAGCTGCAGGGCTGGGAGTTGGCACAGGGAGGTAATCGAGCATGCTGATTACAAATATATTATTGAAAGGGCTGGGCGGAGCCGGTTAACCCATCTAGTGATCTATATAGGTGTGCTATCAAATTCGAACTAAAGCGGCCACGCTAGTCAAACAATCAAATTATCAACCATTTTTAACACCGGATATGGCACCGGATACGCTTACACGTCTTCGCCCTTGCATGAATGTTAGGGAATTGAACGATACACCACTCATATTCTAGATAGATAGCCAAAAAACGATTTGCAAGTAAATTGCCAAATGCCTTGACACTCTTCGCAGTCAACGATACTGAACCAAGATTGTTCTTTGTTCTATTGACAGTGCACGGGACGACTTGGTGAGTGCCGCCGTATTGATAAGGTGGACAACAAAGTTCTAGTGACCGCGTCTTTTACTTTTCTCCCTTTCTCTCCCGCTCCCAGTTTCCATGACCTCATGAGGATGTTCAATCAAAAGTGTTAAGCTCTCTATAATCCTTCCATTACGTTAGACTCCTTCAAGGCTATGAGAATTGAGTAAAAAACAATAAAGTTGTGCCAAAAACAAGGTTTTAACTTACATCTTGAAAATTGACTCTTTGGAAATATTAATTCTCGTTTGTTACAAATAGACAAAATAGAGAGCATAAACATCATTTTTGACTTGCGCATAACCAATGATATCTCGCGATCAGTCAATTCATGAGAACTTTCGCTCTGGGGGAACTTTCTGCACCTCAAAAAGTCCCCGTAAAACACTCGAGAAGTTCTGCAAATAAGCTCTCAGGAAGTTCCCCCAAAACGAAAGCTTTCTGAAGATCAGTTATTAGTAGATTTTTTCTTTTATTTTTTCTTTTTCTTTTTTCTTCACTAGATTTTTTTTCTCTTGTGAGAAAAGAACCTATTGAACCAAGCTTCCACACTTCATTCGTTCCGTAACCGATTAATCGTTGAAAATATAATTCATCAAACAATGATAGTTGCTATCCATTTTTACCATTCAATTCAAGCACAATTTTGACTTTTTTGAGTTTTTCACGCAATGTTGTTCCTATCGAAAAGTGGATTCGCAAAATGGATGAAATGTAAAGCAGCAGTTATGGATTTCTAGGGATAAAGTGGTAAATTTGACTTTCTATGAGAGACTTTGAGAGGTCATTCGTCCAAAAATCCATATCAATCTCAGCCTCTATTTGACCCCTTGATACGAAATATGATAGCACAAAGCAACCTTTCCTTATCCTGGAAATATTGCGTTTGAGAATTACTTTTTCATGTATCCAGCAATGTTCGTGATTTTGTCTCAGTGTCTCAATGTTATCAGACTCGTAAAATTTATTTCAAGACTTGCAGTCAAAATTTCAGGTATGAAGGAAATAGTACAAGCGATCATTTTTCGGTTACAGCAAGTGCTGTGGACTATAGTGACCGTTATAAGTCTTATAAAGGATCGCATAACTTATGGTAGCGATGGTATTGAAGTCAAGAATCATCCGAAACCAAAATGTCTTGAAGGCTGGGATGAGCGATATATCCAGACAAAGGTAAGTGAATATTTTGATACACAAATATATCAAATCGAATAATACATCAAATTAAATCGTTTTTTAATAATTTGGAAATTTCGTGTTTATTGGCCAAGCTGCAATGAATTTTGAATTTTACTAGCAGCTTGAGCGAAATCAATAGTTGAATGAATGAATACAGCTACTTATTGGCTGATTTATAATGGTTTTTTCCGACACCTTGAGTGAGATAAATAAATAAAAGAATAAATCACTTTCTACATATTCTTAATTCTGGTTCTAGACAGTCCGTCTTCACTATGTGCAAACGGGTGGTGACGATAAACCATTGCTGCTGATGTTACATGGATTTCCCGAATTTTGGTACTCATGGAGATATCAACTGAAGCATTTTGCTGACAAATATCGGTATTCACGTATTTGCACAGTTTGTACATCAAAAATGATATTCTTGTTCAGATGCGTAGCGCTAGATCAGCGTGGGTACAATCTCTCTGACAAACCAATCCATACCGAAGATTACCACATAGATTACCTTGTCGATGATATTCGAGAAGTTGTGGAAAGGCTAGGTAAGAGGGTCACATCAGTAAAATGATGTATACTGATTCGGAATTTTCGACTTTTTTTTCAAGACGATTCACTCCAGTTAAGGAAAATCTTTAGGGGAAAATTTCTATATCCCTGACTTTTACTCCTTTCTTTTCCACAAACGCAGCTATCACTTTTTCTTCCTACATAGTTATTTTCAGGTTACAAGAAACTCTTCCTAATGGGACATGATTGGGGAGCAATAGTTGCATGGCAGGTAAGCGTTATCGATCCCAATCCTTTAAAAAAATTGAGATTATTGCCTTTTGATGCTTTTCTTAAATTTATTTAGTTTGCATTGGTCTACCCTGAGCTTGTTGAGAAGCTTGTCATTCTCAATGTTCCTCATCCACTAGCCTTCCCAGCGACTAATTTCGAGCAATTGCGGAAAAGTTGGTGAGTTTTTTTATTCTGCAAATTAGCCCTGCATTCAGAAACGTTTGAGACCTCATTTTGCTCTGTGGCTTCAGTCACTCCTTCAAATTTCACGTGTATCATTAGTTAAACAGTTGCCAACAAAGCAAAAAATTCTTCGGGGTGGGAAAGGGGGAGGATACAAGATCTAGCTCAGAAAACTGGGAAGAATGTCCAGGATTCTCATGTTTTTGCAGAAAAACTGTTGATTATTTGCGCTGAAAGTTGTTGGGCTTGATGGTGCACATTTTGAGATGGTAGAGTGGCAAAACTTGGAAATTATATTTTCAGGTACGTCTTCTTTTTCCAAACACCCATGCTGCCGGAGATGGCTGTACGAAGTCGTGATCTCCATATGTTCGATTTATGTTTCCGTGGTAGACATGCAGGGATTCGAAATAGGGAAAATTTCACCGATGAAGATTTGGAAGCTTTCAAGCATGTGTTTAGTCAGAAAGGTGATTCTGCGAAATTTCTTTAAGTACTTTAAATTTTTTCCTGACAACCAAAATATATAATGTTCAGACGCCCTTACCGGTCCAATAAATTACTATCGTAATATTACGAAACGTGTGCTACAACCAGGACAGAAGATCTGCAAGGTGAGAAAATTACAAAATTTTATGAAAAATACTATTTTCTCATTTTCAGCCACCAACGCTCATCCTTTGGGGTGGCCAGGATGAATTCCTAGTGAAAGAAGGCGCAACAAACAGCTTGAAGGTAGTTTTTACAATTTCCCTACTGAACCTCAATTCACAAGCATTAAGCGGAGAGCAATTTCCTTGCATTTTTTTTCAGTTCTGCGAAAATGTTGAATTAAAATTCCTCGAAGGCGCTTCGCATTGGGTCATGCAAGATGAGCCACAAAAAGTCAATCAATACGTGGAAGAGTTTCTCAGTGAGACCGATAAGGAGACAATTAGCAGCGATCCGTCATCATCGAAGATCTAAGAGCTTGCTTGGATTGTTTTTATTTTAATAAGAATTTAATAATAAACTGATTTATACCGTCTTAATATTATACTGCATATGAAACTTCACGAGAAAAAAAACACTGCTGTATTGAAAACATTGGGAAAAATCCTCAGAAATATAGAAGTACGGAGGCATCACTGCGATAGAAAAAATTTTCCAGAATCGAATAAAAAATACAAGCGACTTTATAGCCTTTAAACCAACTGGATTGGCAGCTGGAAGGCGGGCTTTGTGACCTGATTAAGGCCGATCGCGCCCGCGACGCAGTCTGCGTCTCTCTCGTGCAGGTGCTCTCCGACCATTCTCTAGCCTCAGCTAGGTCACGAGGTCACGAAGCCCGCCTTCCAACCGCCAATCCAGTTAAATCAAAGGTTAACTTTGGCGCCATTCTTCTTGTGAACCGTCCAGTATACTTCAACCGAAGTAAGGCGCTAAATAACGGGCATTTGGCGTTTGGTGTCGCGTTAGCGATAATGAGCACAGATTCCGCCTTGAAATCACAGTAGACCATGCCTTCCTTTTTTTCCCGAATCAGGAATCTAGAATATTGCATGCTATTTGTTCTTGACTATCTCATTCGTTGTCGACATGCAACATGACATACGACCGTTCATTTCCGCTTGCAAGACACCATATGCCAAGTGCCCGTCATTTAGTGCTTCCTTCCCCTCGCTCTTAACAGGCTCAAAGTCAAGTCTGATGCCTCTAAACCGGGCCAACTCCAGAATCAAAATTGAATGTGTGATTACTAGTATTTCGCTGAAAATTTATTCTACAAAGACATATTTCAAAATAACAACCTAGATACTGTCTTCTTCTCATATCTCCTACATAACATTACAATACAATCACAAAATAAGACATACCTCTTCCTAGCTAATATAAAACGTTAGATCCTCATTATAAGAGATTTCTTAAAACAAAGACAAGAACCAGTTTATCATTACAGGTTGATTAAAATGTGCAGTTATTAATATGTCGAGTAAAGTTCGGTCAGCTAAGTCTATGCTTGACCCGAGTATGTATACTCTGAATGAGATAAAAAAAAGGATTAGCATAAGAGTATCATGATCGAGATTATTATGGTGAATTTAAGAAGCAGTGATGATTCGCAGTGTATTGGTGAAGCCAGCTCCTGCAAAGAAAATTTTTCACTAAGGGAATGATAAAAACAGAAGAAATGAGCCAAAAAAGTACAAGTCACGAGTGATAGTGATTTACCCTGTCTCCAACCTGTGATTACAACGAGGAAGTCTCCTCTATGGATGAATCCTCTGTCTTTGCCTACTTCAATTCCATGATTGATTCTGTTGTCTATATCCGTAGGCCAATCATCGCAACGTGGCTTATCGTAGTGCACTGGGAAGATACCTCTGAAAAAATAAGACCTCAGAAAAAATTTCAGGTTTTTTATTTTCACCGAAAAAAGAGTTGGTACGTATGGTTCGCGGTTTTGTTTTTTCAAATTACTGAAATCTTCGCAGGAAATTCATTATAGATATATTGGATTTTTCAAAATGTACTATCACTCCAATCCTTCCTCCAAACTAATTTTTGGCAAAAAAATCATAACAGACACAAGGTAATTCTGATATCAAAGATTTTCCAAAGAAAAAACTGCTTTGGAGAATATCTGGTCTTTGACGACTTAGTATTCTCATCAAAATTACCGAAACTAATTCCAGCTAAAGCTGTTCTTCAGTTAGGTACTGCTTTTCGGAGTACGAAAAAATGACGCAAGAAATTACAAATTCAAACTTGCTGAAAACAGCAGAAAAAAAAACAAATATTTTTGGTAAGTCCCCGAGATTCAATTACATTTAGAGTGTTCCATATATAGAAACACCAACGGCTTTCAAAGTGCTCACCTATACAAATGAAGTTGACGACAGACACTAGCATTACGGCAGATTGTTAATATTGGCACAGGACTCTTGTAACGAGAACAGCAAAGAGCAGAACTAAAATCGTAAAAATTATTTGTACAGGAATGTCCTTAGCAGATGAGATCATGAAGTCTAGACATCTCGTCAAATGGCCAAAAAGTGTCAAAAAAGAACTTACCGTCCAGTAGTGGTAATCAGAAGTATAGCCGAAGCATGACAACTGACAGCAGCACTGGTTGCAGCTATCGCGATCGTCTGTGTCATGTCAGTCGGACGTGGGGTGTTTACCAAAAGCTCTTCGAAGAATTTGCGATGGTAAAGAGCAGCCTCAGCTTCCTAAAGTTTTTACAATCAAAACGCTGCAAAGATGATTGCAAACACGACAAACGACCAAAATGAAGGATGATGAATGCCTAAAGATTATAAAGAGATGGTTATGAGCTCGCCTTGCAGATGTAGTGCATTATCTTGAGAGCCTCGACTGGGTAATCTCCCTTCGCAGTTTCTCCTGACAGCATGACACAATCAGCTCCATCCAGAACCTACAAAAAACATTACTCAAATAGACAAAAATAAAGACAAAGGAAAGGGTTTCCCTAAGACTCTGTCCTTCTTTTTAGATAAAGGGAACCGCCAAGAGAATGAGAAATAAAACAACTTCTGATTTTGCAAACGTAATCTATATATGCTGAATCGCAAGTTGACAATCTACCACTGTAAGATAACGATAATAATTCAAAAATACTAAAAGTGGAAAAAAATTTAGCGCAAAGGCTTTTTGAACAATGTTCAGCGACTTTCGCTAGCCAAAAATTAGCAAAAAAATGAAAAATATAAGATCTTATTTCAAGACTTACAGCGTTAGCCACATCACTTCCTTCTGCACGTGTTGGACGAGGTTTCTTTACCATCGATTCAAGCATCTGTGTCGCACAGATGACGGGTTTTCCAGCACGATTACATTTGGCAATGAGCATCTAAAAAGCAGAGTTGGAATTTGATCTACTACACATACTTATTCGGAAAAAATCGCGAAATTCCTAACCTTCTGCGCGAGGAAAACTTTTTCAGCCGGTATTTCAATACCGAGATCTCCTCTGGCTACCATAACACCATCAGACTCAGCAATGATCTCATCCGCTTTGTCTACACCTTCCTGGTTTTCAATCTTGGAAATGATTTTGATGTGCTTTCCTTTTTCACCTAGGACCTGAAAAAAGATTGATCAGGAATTTCTAAGGGAAATAAAAGTACTCCACTGAAAATGGCTTACTTTTCTGATTGTGCGCACTCCTTCAGCGTTTCGAATGAAGGAAGCAAAGATCATGTCCACATTTTGTTCAACACCAAATTTCAGATCCTCAAATAAAAAAATTATCTTATTCAAAAAATTTCCTACAAGAAAAAGACAATTTCTTACTTGTATATCCTTATCGGAAACAGCAGGGAGATCAACAATAGTTCCAGGTAGATTTACACCTTTACGGCTGCCTAAAATGATACATTAACCTGGCCCATCAAAAACTGCGGACTACGGTAGGGTTACGGTAACACTCACCAAGCATGCCACCGTTTTCAACGGTACAAACAATAGCATCATCAAGAATTTCGTCAACAATGAGTGAGATCAGACCGTCATCGACGTAAACATGAGATCCTACTTGGACTACCTACAAAGGTTTTTTTCAAAAAAAATTTTTTGAAAAATCTACAGCCTCAGACACCGAAAAAACTTACCTTAGGGATATTTTTGTAATCAACGAATAGATTGATTGCTGTTCCAGATTCCTTGAATTTAGGGTCAGTAGTGAGACGAATAGAAGCACCCTTCTTCAGTTCAACCTGAATGCAAGCATTTTAGTCCATAGAAACCACAGAAAAATAATTTTTTGAAGCTTACCTCTGCACTGGCCCCTCCGGCCAACAGACCAGTACGAATTTCGGGTCCCTTGGTATCAAGGGCAATACCAATCTGCCTGATTTCACTGAAAGATTCCGCAGCTTCTCGCACATTTGCAATCGTTTCAGCGTGGTACTGAAACAGACCATTCTTCGATTTGAGCAACATTTTCCATATATCATAATGCATGAGATATCTTCCTCAACTACCGCTAGATCAATTTTAACTTGGAATGCCAAAATTTGCGTTTTGAATTTCTATCTTCACATATTCCCGCATTTGCATTTCTTGAACTAAATGTTGGGAAACCTGCTTTTGACTATGTGCATTTCACATGAATTGTTCTCTGAAGAAAATTGACAGAAAAGAGCCAAGGCTTTAAGAAGACGAAAGCCTGCTGAGCACGACAATGAGCGGCCTCATGAATAAGAAAAAGATGAAAGATGAAGCGGCAGCAAAGCAGATTTCTCAAAGAGCATCTCAAGATACCGTAACCCATAGCTGAAAAGTCAAAGATTCATAAATTTGCATATGCTAATCGTATCAAGATGAAATCTGAAAAGCGAGCGCTAGATGAATTCAAATTATAAATTACAGATATGTAGAAAAAAGAACAATCGTTTCTTGTTTTTTTAACTTTTCCCTACTCAAAGATTTTTAAGAACACACTCACCTCATGTGAACCATGAGAGAAATTCATTCTAGCGATGTTCATTCCGTTGTTGATCATCTGTTGAAGCATTTCGACGGAGCGGCATGCTGGTCCTGAAAAATAAACCCATCGGATTCTAGGCATAGAAATTTTTGGAATTTTTCAATGGAAAATGGTGGGCTTTCGACCCAAAGATTTCGAAAAACTATAGAAACTCAAATTTTGAACAATTTTCGAGTTTTCACAGCCAAGGTACACTTAGAGTTGTTCAAAGTTGAGAATCATCTCAATCTTTATGGTTCCACTTCAAAAAAAGAAAATATTGGGAACTAATTTTTTCAGAGGCGTTTCCCTTCTTCCCCGCATACGTTCCAAGGCGGTTAAAGTTACAGTAGCTCTGCCCAAACGTTGGAAAAAAATCAGAAAACTTACCAATGGTGCAAATGATTCCGGTCTTACGAACAACATGTGGAGGTTCTCGAATGTCCAAACGACATAGATGCTCCAATTGTGTTGTCGCAACATCTTCTATTTTTTGCTCTTGCCTGTAAAAATCGCAAAGTGCATTCATAGCTAGAAACGTTGTCCAGAAAAAAATCTATAAAAACTTGTTTTCATCAGGTGTCAATCACCCATGCTGTCACCAAGGAGACGCTTTTTTTTTTCGGAATGGCAATTTGTGCAAAGCGGATAAGGTTACGAAGCAAGATCAATAGCAAATTTTACGCTGATTGAAGCTGACAGCAGATTCGGCATAAGTTTCACAAATGGGATAGTTTCAGTTTCAAATATTTGAAAAATTCTCAGGGAAAAATAATTCCTAGATTGATAATGCATTTGTCCCAAACATCCCCAATGCCCTGCCCCTTTCTAAAAAAAATCCAGTAATTGGCTAATCCCCGGACCATAACATCCCTTTCCCCGCCAACTCACCTCAGAGAGCATTCCGAACCATTACGACTTATCGTTTCACGATCTGGTTCGACCATCAAAGCCAATTTTTAGCGTGGACGCAATTTCCACGAGTACTCCAGTATAAACTGGACGAGAAAAAAAATTGCAATCAAAAATTTGAAAAGGTGCGAAGATTACGGTAAAAATGATTTATGACGGAAAGATATGTGAAACAGAGAGCGAGACTTTTCAGGAAACGTTGCGCATTCAGAAATTAGAAGTAGAAATTTCAAAAAATTCATAAATTTCCTTGCGCAAAGAACTGCACTGTTGTAGAGCACGGAAAATTTAGAAGTTGAGGAAGCTTTTCAAAAATGCAGCGGGATTTTTTTTTACAAAAACTGGCGCAAAGAGTAAGGATCAACAATTTTTTTCGAGTTTCGAAAAATATGGATAAAATATTTCGCAATCAATTACTTTTTGACACATCACCTAAGCCACGCTAGGTGAACTTTGTACTACAAGTGCTAATGCCTTTAGGGCTCATAATAAATACAAAGTGGGCGTGGCTTCGACCTTTCATGAATAGCTGCTGAGTTGGCGAACGAGCATTGGCCACATACGAAAAAGGAGATTTCTCGCTTGCCCAGAGCGCTCTAGAATTTTCCTCGGAAAATCGATAGAAGAGAAGCAAGCTAAGCTAACAAGAAAAGGCAAAATGCAAAATGTAACGGAGTAACGGGAACTGAAGAAGAAAAAAATTCGAAAAAGCTGCAAACGAAAACTTTTCTACTCTCTTTTTAAGATTTTTTCGTGCGATCCTTTTAATAATTGATACTGAAATTACTATGACTTTTAATATTCAGAGCAAGTTTAAAGAATACGGTAGAAACCACGAGTCAAGAAATATTTTTCCTTCACTTTCTTTGAGATTTTTTCGCCTTAAAAAGGCTAGAAGATAATGTCTAAGTAATAACAAAATAAAGGTTGCAAAATTATATCTGATCATAGAAGAGAAAATTATAATAAGCTTCAAAAGATATCTTTCGAGCAAAGTAAAACGTAGATGGATAAAATTTCGTGCAAAATTCTCAGAACTAATACTGAAACTGCCGCAATTTTTTCGGTGCAAAATCCGTTCATAATAACTACTACAATTATAAATTTTAAATCTGCAAAGCAAAACTAAAAAATATGATATAAACTGCATGGAATACTCCTTTTCTTTACTATTTCGCGCGACTTTCTGGGCCAGTGCCGCTAAAATCTAATTACTGAAATTACAAAGTTTTTACTGAATTCCAGAGCAAAGCAAGAAAAAATCTGCAAATGATTGCCCAGCCAAAAGCAGAATAAGGCCGCAGGCGAGTGTGAATTGCGAAAAAGTGCTTCGAAAAGAGCACCATATCTGCTCCACCTCTTATTGCATCATCGTCGTCTACGCATTCAGCCTTTGGCGCAAAGACATATACGCGCATATAAGCCTTTAGCAATAAAGTAATCAAGCGTAGCTAAACGACATCAAGCTTTTCAGCACTGCAAATGACGAGATTTCTCTAGAAAGGAAAAGTCAACGGTGCTGATTCGATATGGGAGGTTGGGCACTTCGCACTTTGACTGCTCAGAATCGATAAACAGAAGCAGTAACGAAGCCTTTGCAGCTGTGCAGAGCTACTAGTCAATATGCAGTTCAGCGAGATCATCGTTAAGGATATTCCCGACTTCGGAGAAAAATGCCAAGGCGTAAACAAGCCCACACCTCCATATAAAGCGAAGCTGAATGCAGTTATGCCATATTCGAGTGTGTTTAACTGCAGTAGAAAAACTTAATTCTGCGGATATTATAGACTAAGCTATGAAAAGGCAAAAAGACAAAAAGGCAAAACAGCACAAATAATACCTTCACTTATTCAAAAAAAAACCTTTTGCAGTCACATTTATCTCCAAACTAACAAAAATTTTCTACTTTCTGATTTGATATTTTACAATCGACCAGCTCTATCAACTTCAATTTCCACATTTTCTAAGGATTGTTGCGATGCAAAATCCAAAACAATTTTTTTTTTCAATTTCAAGAGAAATGATGGGTTCAGAGCATAACAAGACTACTATTCGCATAATATGTTTCCTAAGTAATTTGCACTAAAACGCCATAAGCGAAAAGTAAAGAAGCGTAGATTATAGATTCACGAGGTGGTGACCCTACGGTGTCTTATGTAATTACTATTTTAATCCTTCTGCAAGATGATGTCTTTCAGGTAAGTTAGAAAATTCTTGCATCCCTTTTCTTTCATCACAGGTTGATCTGAGGAATAGCAAACAACCCAAAAGCTGTGTATTTGAACTTTCTCAGTCCCTCCAGAGTGACTCACCTTTTCGAGATACAAGTACTCTCACACTCAGGAAATTTGATTTTCAAAACTAAGAAATTCTACTGGATAATTTTGAAGCCTCCTAAAAAGCCTCAAGAGGAGAAATAGAGTAAATGAATTCCTAAATTTCCAGTTTCCGAACTATCTCACATCGGGATTACTCCTCAGTGACGAGACCAAAAAGATGAAAAATCTTTCCAAACAACCAGGAATTCATGTCCCAACCTATGAAAACACCGGATAAGCACTGAATATTACCTGCTGATAGACTCATTTTAAGATTCCTACTTCATAAAGTTCTTGAGAGCAATGATGACAAATTCGCATTCCAAGTGACTCAACTTGCAGAAGTGTGCAAACTAAAGTGCATCCGAGTGCAGGTGCACATTGCGCAACGCTTTTCGTACAAGCACATGACGCAATCCAAGATGACGTGAAGTGATTTTTCGAGAATAGGAAGTGCAAATTAGCGCTAGCTAAAAACATCAACTGTACGCAACGTGTGCATGAATATCCTAGAAGCTTAATTAGCACTTTGAGAAATCGCAGCAAACCATGTCCTCTCTGAGTCATACGCACTTTCTAAATATAGAAAAATGGATAAGTACACAGCTTCCGGCGATTATTAGTTTGATGCAAAATTCATGCACCAAAATTTTTAAATTCTGTTACTTTATGCAGCTACGATAAAAGCTTCTAATTTGATATACAATAGAGAGAGCAAATCTTGCGCTTTCTAAAGGCGCTCGACTCAAAATTTCTTGAAAGCATATGGCAACGATGTAAAGTGAATAAGAGAGATATTTTTAAAAAAAGTTTTTCGATTTTTAGACACTAAAATTGTTAAAAAGTCTACTAGATTCAGATTTATTTTCGGTCTTAGTTTATGACATGCTCTTTTTTAGAGAGAAGTTAGTAGTGATTGGATGTCGCTGCGAACAGTTACGAATTTCGAATTTGCTAGAAAGACTTGTTTAATTTGTTTATATTCATGTTTTGGAATGTACTATAAGATACAGCTTTTCAAATACATAACAAAGAGCATATCTTGTAAGTTGATTAGTTTGTTTAAGCATTTTTGAAACAATTCTTTTCATTTTTCAGAGCAAAAATTGTGCATCAGTGCATCAACCTAAATTAATCTTGCTCTTACAGTTTTTGCGAAGTAAAAATTCGATTTTGCAATAAACGCTTTAGTTTTAGAACCGCCCAGCATAATCACAGTCCAACAAAATTCTGCAATGAGTTTGAAAACCGTAAAATCAAAATATTTCAAGAAAAACTGTGACTACTTGCTATTCTCACAGATCAACTTTGAAAAATAATGCCTCATCAAAACGACTTTTTACTTATGAAAAACCATTCATGTGCACGTGATCGGTTTGATCAAGTGCAACTTGATGAAATACTGTACTTTCCAGACCAAAAGTTTGCCATACCTCTATGCTTACATCAGTTTGCCATTTCCTCTATGCCATCTGTCCCCAAGCATTGTGCAAGCTTACACCCAATGGTTATAATCTTGAGATTGACTAGCAAAAACCAAAAAGGGTCCAAAAATCAGTCTTACTAGTTTAAAATTACTTTATGTTTATCATTCGTTGTGTTTCTGAAACATGTGCAGCACTTGCATATCTCCACACTTGCTAGGGCTGAATTTTACTCGTGTGCTTTTCAGCTGCTCAATGATCAACTCGCCGAATGTATGGAAATTGGATGAGGTGTGAAAGCCTCAAGATCTCATCAGAGAACTCTGCTTGGCCATCATGTAGAGTAGCATGGAAAAAGTAATGTGCATTTTTCTGAGATTTACTCTACTGACAAGAAGTCGTACTACTATCAGGGCGTTAAGGACTAGGGTAAAAGGTAAGATATTAAATGATGAAAGACATCCAAAAAAGTGCTTTTCAGCAAATTGGAACTAGCTTCAGTCGGTTACTTTGCTGAGAGTTTTTGCAAAAAGCTTAGAAACTTTGAGTCTTTCAATAAAAGCAAACAAATAACAGATAAAATTTCACCTTAATGTTGAGAATAAAAATTTTACTGATTGCAAAATTTTTAGCTCTCAAAAAGACCTATAGAAAAGCTTAGCTTTGTGTTAGATGCACATTCTCAACTCATAGCTGTCTTCTACCATCCGGACACCCATAATCATAACCTAGCTACCATCTCGTTGCCACCGCTATTCCTAATCAAATCATCGATCAAACAAAACAATTTCCCCCGTCTACCCTCACTCCCCCCCCCGTCCTCTCCTTCGCAACCACCTCCCCAAAGATTCACACGTTTTTCGGCGGAATGGTAGCGATCATAGACCGCAAGAGCTGCGAACTCGCACAAGCGCTGCTAAACACGTGTTGAGCACATGATAGCGCTAGCAGCATGGAATTCACACATAGTCCTAGTGAAGAGCGTAGAGGGCATGCAAATAAAAGGTGCGGTTTCTATCAAATAGGTCCTTGACGGGGCTACTCTCAAAACATTGACTGCATTCTTGGCAGCCTTGCAAAAAGAAAAAAATAATGAAGTTATGGTCGAAAGAAAATGAAAAAATAGTAACTGTGCAACCACACATTGGAACCTCAGAAAGATTTTCAAACCCTCCAAAAAGGATAAAAAAAACAGACAGATGACGTTTAGAAAATTGGGACGTCTGATGACAGCATGAAGGTATGACACCAAAAAAACAACGTTTTCGAGATCACAATCAAAAAACTTTGGAAGTTTAGAACTCACACAAAGTATTCTCCTTGATGTTCTTCTTCGATGGTCATTCTTCGTGTAAGCGTCGGCCGCCTAGTCACTTTTGGTACGACTACATCTTTCACTTCCGGTACGCGATCTGCTCCCTCGTCATTCTAGAACAGAATTGCTTTGGAAAGCGCACAAAACCACAATTTCAACAAAAAACTGTTTGTACCTTCAGGTCAATTGCACTCATACTTTTTTTCTGCAAAACGGAGTTGAAATCAATGATCACAGCGCGAGAGAACACAACAATACAATGACAGGTCGATGGTCGCGTAGCAAGGTAGGTTCAAGAGGGGCACACACTGAGTCGGCGATAACCGGCCGGAGACTGTGAGTGGTGCGAGTATCTACCGGGGGTAAGCCGTATCACCACCACCAAATGCGGTAGCGTGAAAGAGCAGATAACAACCTTTGGATGATGGACGAGCTGTGAAATTTGCTATCATGAGCATGCGTATGAACGATTTCCATAGATGAGGTGCTATAATATGAGACCGGAAGGACGGGATGCGCGTAAACAACGAGGAGATGCTATAAGATCCTTCGAGAGGTGTTCTGCTAATGACATCATAACAACACTGTTTTCGGCCTTTTTTACACCAAGTATCTCTCGTCTTTGTAGTTTACGACTCATGAGAATTGTTCAAAATATGAGTTTTATTTGTTTTATTTCGAAAAAATAGTGAAAAGTACATAAAATCTTGCCAGCAAGGGCAGATTGGTTGCTGGAGGTAATGATTACGAAATTTACTTATATATAATCTTTAAGGTGCAACGAGGTTACGGTAATTACATAGTAAAACACAAAATCGTAATCTCTTCTGACCCTTCTTCACAACGGTAATAGTGCTAGTAAACAAAGAAAAAAGAGTTTACGAATCATAGACATCGACTACCTCCGAAATCACCAATAATAAAATAATTAGAAAACAGCATGAATCACGGGTTCAGACAGAAACAAAGACGAAGACTCGAAAGAAAACTTTTGAGTTGATTCTGCATGACGCACTTGGATACCGAAAGAAGTGCAAAAGGCATTTTAGGCGAGACTAAACGACCTTTTCTGAGTGCCCTATACCCAATGTATACGATTACGTTCATTGTCACTGTACGATCGTGCACAAAGTTCTTAGAATTCCATAAAAACAAAAGCTATCTATGGTTAGTAGAAAAGCAGCAAAAAAAAAGGCAAAGCAAAGCAAAAAACGCTTGGAGAATAAAGTTACAAGAAAGAACGGCATTTAGTTCAACTCGCAGTTCTTCACACAAAAGAAATTTAGTTTCCTCTTTGATCTCTTAGTGACTCAAATGCTAGGATTCTACCTATATTTTCCCCAGTCTCGCCTGCATTCCGTTATTCTGTAGAGCCCTAACAACAAACAAACAAACATACACAGAGTATATCAAAACACTTGACCTGCTTTGATACACTACGTATATGCTGTTCATTCATCGATCGAACAAACAATGACCACATCCATCGTAGGCGAGAATGCCAGTATGATGGAACAAACAAAAGCAGAGACCGACACATTGACCTTTGACATATATGACTAATTCTCTGCTCTTCGGACTTTCTTGCAAATGTATGAACAAAAACTAGATTGAAAATGCGTCTCGACAAATTTGCATATGCCGGTGTGAGCCAAAAGTTATCTCATGGAAAGAGTATGGTTACCAAAGGCGAAAAAAAGAAACTTGGCAAATATCTGCCCAATAAAGTACAAAAGTAAGTTCATTAAAGCCTCCCAAAAGCAGCTGCTTGGGAGCAAAGTGTATGTATATCAATACCTTGGGAAATGGCTGACATGCTACCTCATCATTCTGAATAGCAACTTGAGAATACGAGCATGCGATATATAGCACCGAATATGAACAGCGACGATTCAAATTCTAAGCAAATAATTAGAAAGTCCAGAATAAACGTATCAATGGTCCGGCGACCAGCATATATCTATGACAAGCGTCACCTAACCACAAACAGCACAGCAGTTTCAATCCTAGAAATGCGCCATCGACAAAAAAGACACAGAAAGGTTGTTTTGAGAGAGTCTGCAGCTGCTCAATACTTTTCAGCGCCAACGACGATGTTTACGACAAATTTGTTTATCTTGCAAACCAGTAGTGATGGCACCGCCCGTAATCGCCTCAGCAGTTGCTGGTCGTTGTTGTAAAGCCTCAATAAATGCAACTCAAATGAGAATTGAGATTAATCGTAATACGCAGACTGTAGCAAAAAAGGGAACAAAAAAGATAAGTAGTGCAAAAAGTTCTTCAAAAAATTGGTCTCATCAAGCATCATTGATCTTCTTATACATACTCAGCAAATTCATCGCTAGTCCTCGAACGCAGACATCTACCGTGAAAATAAAATTGTTACGGAGATGGAGAAGAATCCAAATAGAAAGTGATAAAGAATGAACTTTTTCTTTTCTAAACACGGTTCGAGCACAAGAAGACCTTTGTGATGCGAATAAAAGAACAAATAACAAAATGTCCACCTCATTGCCTTTGAAATGTAGAACTTCGGCTAGCTTCTGCTCCATTTCGCTCATTTTACTACCGACTTTTGCAAGTAGCTGAAATAAACACTATCTTGATGGCCTTCGACCGCCTAAACGATAACGGCGCCGGAAATGGACAGCCAATTCACTTCAAGCAAAGCAGGTTACCGCGCCTGCTATCAACCGCAGCTGGATTTCACCAATTCGTCTAAAAAACTGTGGAAAAATGCACTATCTTTGAAAAAAAACTTCGTCGCTGCAGCTTTCAAACAAAAGCTATCTAGTTGTCTATATTAGTCTACCAGATAAGTTATTAGATCTGCAAAAAAGCTCCACACAGCAGGCAGAAGCAAAGAAAGAATATAACCTCGTACTCCAAAAATGATCAAAAAAGACAGGGTCTAAGCATTTTTCCAAGCAATAAACAAACTAGACGGAACCAGCACATTATTGTACTCCAAGCGAAGAAAAGAAACTATAATTGGAGCTCAAATTTTTTTCTGATTTTTACTAGAAGCAATTGTAAGTGGAACAAATGCTCAAAAAGTGGATCTGAACTTGAACGAAACACTGCTCCATTGAATACGAGGGAAAGTAACATTATTGTAAAATTTTGTTTTGTTCCATCCCAAAGATGGAGTAATAACCGAATAAGTTACCGGAAGTGGTTTGTACTTCTGGAAGAATTACAAAAGAAATGCAGCGACTGAGTACGACGAATAGAAAATAGAATTCTCCCCTGAATCTATAGCAAATTGAAACGAAGAAGCAAACATCTCCCCGAAAATTCATAGATATCAATTTCAAGCAAAACAGAACAAAGTATTCTAAACTTGCAAGATCCCAAGAACAAATGTATTAGTCAACAACAATGATGATGGAACCACTCACATCACTCATTTTCTTGCTGTTGGCACTGCACTGCAGGCGTTAGTACTTCAAACGACGTTGATGAATTGTGAGAATTGGGCACCGTAGGAAAGATGACGACGAAACAACTAAATAGCAGCGATGATGATTGATCTTTTGATCGCAATCGGAGCAATCGCGGGCTATAAGACGGGCAAAGACCAACGAAAATCACTCGAGGTTGAGGTGTGATTTGGACCCAGCTTGTTCAATCCACACATACTTCAGAAGGGTAAATGACCACAAGGTTCCCTGTGGTTCTGCAAACGGAAAAAGGAGTGGAAATGAAAACGCAAGATAAATAATAGATTTCAAGCCAAAAAAATGCAAAGGTCCGGAAACGCATGGTAATCATGTAGATTTGAATGTTTCCTTATAAAGCACATCACAAATGAAAAAACATCTAGAAAAACAGAAAACAGAGAAAAATATCCTAAGCAAAGAATAAGCTAAAAGTTCCAAAACTGCATGGTTTTCATGCTACATAATACATTTCTTTCCTAGACAATGCCATACAGTGGGAAAAAAAAATCCAAAAAAAAAATGAAGAAAATGCCATTCAGAAAAAAAAATGTGAATGAAGACGAACAATGTTGTAAACATACACAACAGATAGATTCGATGTATTCGAGCGTACCGCCAAGTTTGTGTTTTCTTTCTACTTTGTGCATTCTTCAAAAATTAACTTATCTAAAAATACTTGAACTCTTCGAACAAGAGCTTTGCCCTTTCTATTTCGCGCTAATCGCGAACAATAAGTCCTTATCTGATACTTCTAAATTATAAAGGTCGACTGATATCACTTTATCTTTTCGCGCGATCTGATGTAAACATGTTTGCAAACTCCACTCATCGCTGCAAAAATCTAGCTGATCACATCAGATTATTTGCCCGAAAAGACAAAAAAGCGTATGTGCACAACTCCAGAGTAAACTCAATCGTAACAAATTTCTTTGATTTTTCGAAGCCATAAAGAGTAGCATTTATCGCCACAAGCTACAGTTCGCAAGGTTCTTTCATCCATAAACTGTAGAAATTCACTGGATTATAGAGTGCAGAAGGCACTTTTCTCCTACCGTAGCTAAAATTAGGCGTAAAACTAATGTTGACTGCAGAAACATGCAGCTTCACGCTATTAATGTACGCGGTAGTATTTGAGGCATGTAATCGCTCCAAAATCTTGTAATGAGGTGATAAAGTTGTAGTATAAGTGCCAGGAGCTTCAACATTGTACGACATTGTTTCCGCATCACTCGCCAGTCCTGGTGCAAGTTGATTTGAAAAGACCATGTATTGTAAGTGAGCAGATCGACACTTCCATATTGTACAGCAATTTTATGTGCAGTGCATAGTGTGCTTCAAGACCAGCTGGACTATTTGTGTCAGTAATCGCAGATTTCATTTTTTGAATCTTTATTGCATGCTTTTTTTCCTGAACAGGCTCAAAAGATGTTGAGCCCACGTTCCATCTCTTTTAAATTGAAATTTGTTTCTTATTACGCAGTGCTGCCGTCTATGATCTCATACGATCTTCTTACGACGATACGACATGATGATACTCTTCTTCGAATTTATTTACTCCTAATCTTCCAGCCAACACAGAAATATGTAGTCAGGTAGGTTCGGCTTCAGTTGTGTGGAGGCGGTTGCGAAATTTCGCTAAAAGGATGAACTTGAGAGAGTATGAAAGACAATGCTGCAACAAGCAGGTTTAAGAAGTCCAACTTTATTCAGGGGAAAGCCCGCAACCGCCTGCGCATGAATCTGGGAGCCAATGATATGATTTGAGACCCGAAAACGACAAGAGTGGCACTAAGTACAGCGCAAATCGTAGCATTTCCGCTTAGATGTTCCTCGTCAGGTTTGGTGCAAAGTAGTACATCTGAAAAGTCGTGTCAATCGTCTACTGTGGGAGATAAAAAAAGACTGGAATGATCACTCGCTTGAAAGAATTTGTATGAGTAGTTTTGTGCGCTGTTCTTATACGCTATGATGATGCACATAATTGGTAAACCTGAACTTCTTGTACTTGTGGCTTGTGGCTTGCCAAATCTTTGATTTTGTGTGTAGATATCATCCTTCGCGATATGGTCCGGATTTGCTGTAAACTCTATTTTATCACTTTGTTTTTGAGCTACGGGTTTCAAATAACTCAAACGATGTCGAAGTGTCGACGGAAAGAGAGCCAAGCTCACTCATATTTCTTATTAGTAGCATATTCGAAAATAAAGACAAGGACCTGCGTATAACTAAAAAATGACATATAGAAGTGGAGAATGAAATCGGGCTAAGTATCATTGCCTATAAAAGGGCCAGAAATCTATCGATGGCACGTCCTCGCAGCAGCCAATTCCAGAAAATTTCCGTGGGTGCTAGCTTTCCCTTTCTATAGCTTTATGAAGCCTTCTGATCTCGATATGTACTTAGTGTTCACAAGTCAGAAAAACGTCTGCGTCGGCAGTCATCGCAAGCAGCTAATTTTTTCCCTCTGAAAGACGGGCAGGATAAAGTGGGACAACATTAATACGCGGAATACAACTGAATTAGCCGAAAAAGTCCCCCTACTCTGACTAAATAATGAAGCAATGCATCGCCCGTACCGCAGCGCACATTTATTGGCGTAAATTCGGATGTTTCTGCAGTCAACATCAGCTTTACGACTAATTTTGGCTACGGTAGGAAAAAAATGCCTTCTGCACTCTATAATCCAGTTAGAAATTCTACAGTGTATTGAGCCGAAAAATCTTCAGGAACATGCTTAATCGAAATGGTCTTTTTAAATGGGACGTATACCATCTTAGCTTTTATGGACGAAGAGTTGTGAGCGCTTATTGAGGCAAAAAATTGAATGTGCAAGTAGGACAAAAATAGCCGTAATAATTTTTCTAGTTCTTTAATGGAGCAGTGATAATCAACAAAGCAATTTGTTTGAAAAAAAATTCTCAAAAAAATATATTACACTTGGTTATATTATTTAAGGGCTAGTAAGCCTTTGGCAACTCATTTTATCCAAAATGCATGTTCAATTTTTGGCTTTAAAAACGCCCATAACTTCTCGTGTATAAACGCTCTGCAGATAAGGAAGGCAGAGTTGTAGTCAGCGTTTTATGCCCTTCAATATGATATGCATCTCATTTAGAAAGGCCACTTTGATTAAACAAGCTTCCCTTGTCAATTAAAAACTTACTGGTAGTATTACTCACTCTTGTTTCTTTTTTTTTTCAAGAAAACACTTATCTTGATAGGTACCCGGATTCACTGAGCAAAGTAAGCTAACAAAAGTGATGAAATGATCGAAAAATAAGTCCCGCCACTCCGACCACGTTTTACAAAGAGAGAGATGAAGACAAAAGTAATAACCACGAAAAGCAAGCAGCAAGAAATTTCCACCTCTCCAGTAATTCTCTGATGTACACAAACCACAGAAACCTATTCAGAGAAAATACCGCCATTGTCAATTGATGGTTTATCTTTGTTGATATTTCCTAAGTACTTTATACAGTATGCAACATACTAGTCATACACAGTCAGATACTGAGAAAGAAACTGCAAAAAAGGAGTATGAACGCTTCTGAGCAAATCACATGCTCGCATGGCGAGACTACTCGGGTCCCACCCAGAATTCGGCTAATGATATTTGTGCACTACTCATGAGTAGTTTTTCAAGTTTTTCGTCGAAAAAGGCACTTTTCAGTCAACCGATTCTACTTGCTTAATGAGGTAGGTGAACACGTTGAGAAGTAACTTCTAACTAAACTTTTCAGGGTGGATAAAATTCTGGGGGCTTCTGCAAACGCTACAACAAACATGAGCACACCTGGAAAGCTCTACACATGAGCGATTCGCGGTAAACATCGCCACATAACGGCCACTCCACATTACAACAACGGAGCGCAGCGTAGGACCAAAGACTGCCGAACTTCTTGAAGAAACTTTGGACTATATAACAAAAAGCAACACACTCTTTTGGCTAACTCTAAAAACAGCAGACTAGACGAGGCTATTTCACAACTGGATAAGCGCCGTGAAAAGGTGTTTACCATACTTAGCAGACTAGGACCACGCATAAAGGAAGCAGCGTAAAAAAATCGATGCGAGAGACACTCGTAGTAGTGAAAAGGATTGCCTGCGGCACACCCTCGCCTTTCCGAGTCCACATTTCGAAGAACCAGACCCGCCCCTCATTCTACCTTCCTAATCAAAAGTGCATAGATTTCTCCACTTAGCCCTTGAACAAGAACTGAACGGAGATGTACACAAGTTTATTTAGAAATTTCACATAAATAGAAACAATCTGAGAATTTGAAATTTGCGGAACAGCTCGATCAACAACCGTTTTTATTAGATAACTTTTTAACAACAAGCCGGAACAGTAGCATTTACATTTTGTCAAGGTAGTTGTCAAGAGCGGGAATACCCTCCTTGAGTCCCTTGCGTTTCCTTGTCTCCAAAACAACTTGGTTGGGTTTCGTTCCAGCTTCAAGTGGATCACCGGGAAGTATTTGCCAATGGTCGAATACGCATTGTGGGAAAGCCTGACCACCAGTATTTGAACGCAAATCAGCTGTGAAACCTGAAAAAAAAACACTTGTAAATGAAAATACGACGACAAAGCAGCTCAACGATAAGGAGACTAAAAAATTCCAATAAAGCCTTCTAACAAAGTGCAACTATCGACTAAGTTCTCCGATCCAAGACTGTGAAAAACCATCGGTCAATACACTACAGCCCAATGGGGCTTAGAAAAGCTTATCAAAATGCTTAGTTTCGGAATCAAAATCGATAAATATGTTGGACCTTCTCTTTAGAGAAAAATCCAGATTAACGGTAACAGAAGTAAGAACTTCATCGTTTTTTGCGAGAATACCACCAAAATTTTTTTTTTCAAAAAGAAAAAACTCACCGAAGGACTCGTTGACAGGAAGATAAGCCTTGACGACGAACATGGGTGTTCCGGTAACTTGGGATTCTTCGAAGACGTGTCCTCTTCTGCGATTAAGCACACCGTAGATACCTCCAACGGCAACTTCAGGACATTGAATCTCGACTAGATATACGGGTTCCAAAAGGCGAGGTGCGGCAGTAAGAACAGAGGCATACAGGACACGACGAGCAGTTGGAATGATTTGGCCACCACCTCTGTGGATAGCATCAGCGTGCAGCGTAACATCATGGATATCGAAACGAATTCCACGCATGTTTTCGTCGGACAGCACTCCTTCTCTGGTAGCCCATTGGAAACCAGCAACAACGGAATCCTTGATTTCGTTCAAGTATTGTACTCCCTTCGTGATATCGACCAGGATGTTGGGACCAGTTCCGTCGGGACCGAAGCACCAGATCTTACGAGCCTCCGTCACGTCATAGTCGTACTTCTCGGCAAGAATCTTCGCACGAGCCTTGAACTCATCACGAGCGTTGACTGTTCCTTTCTCAATATCGTCAGCAAGACCATCAGGCATGGGCTTGGCGGTGGCATGGAGACGATTGTGCTTGTTCGGTGACTTAGACAAGCAAACTTGGTTCGATTGCTCTGAGACGGTTTCACGATACGACACAACGGGATCGGATTTCTTCAATGGAATGCAGGCGTGATCCTCTTCAAGATCCTTTAAGCAAATTTCCAAGTGAAGTTCACCAGCTCCAGCAATGATATGTTCTCCAGATTCTTCGAAGATACATTGGACCATAGGATCAGACTTGGCCAGACGTTTAAGACCTTCTACCTGAAACGGAAAGCATCAGAAAATTTCTGGGTTAATCGAACAGGAAAACCCTTTCCTCAAAGTGGTCATTTAACACGAGATGTATATCAGCAAACGGCGCATGATGTGATGTTTACGAAACGGTGTTCATTACCTGCTTAACGCCTTTCTATGGGGAGCTACGAGCGTTACTTGAAAGGCAAAACTTTGATAGCGCGACTCTGATGAGACCGTTCAGAACAATGCTCAGGGGGCTTGAATGGAGTGGTGATGTATATCAAAAGCATTCACTGTGAGTTTTCTCTTAATACCCTCAAACTCATCATAACTGCGCATATAAGAAATCGTTTTGAATTGATGCCCCAAAAAACGCACTAGCTCCTCACAGGAAAGTGATCCGCAGATAATGAGGACAGATTTGTGATCATGCCGCATCTGCTGATATACACCCCATAACAAACGACCACTATGAGTAGCAGGATTCCCTAGTAAACAAGAAAAACAGTAACCCACCAATTTAGGCAGATCAGCAGGGTTCTTGGCTTCAACAGCAACACGCACAACAGGCGAGACAGAGAACTTCATGACACGCATGTTGTGAGCATCCTTGAAAGTGGTAATAGTTCCTCCTTTGACCAAGTACTGATCGACACCGACAAGACCAGCAATATTTCCGGATGGAATATCCTCGATAGGCTCGATGTAACGACCCATCATAAGAATTGTACGTTGGATGGTCTTCTCGTACAAGTCCTCTTTCTTGCCAGGAATGTAGTTAGGTCCTTGAATTCTGGCCTTCATACCCGTAGCGACCTTTCCAGAGAATACACGTCCGAAAGCGTAGAAACGTCCTTTGTCGGATGTCGGTACCATTTTCGAGACGTACATCATCAGAGGTCCGTTGGGGTCGCAGTTCTTGATGGCGACAGCGGCTTCGTCATCATGAGGTCCTTCGTACAGCATCTCCATTCTGTACTTCTGGGCAGTTACTGGAGAAGGAAGATGGATACAGATCATTTGAAGCATAGTGTCTCCGGCAGGCAGCCATTTCCTCATGAACACCTAGAACAGAGATTTATGAAATGGAAAATGCAATAAAAAATTTGCACCAACCTTCATGAGAGGCTTGCCTTCAAGATCTTTCTCGTCGGCCGCAAGCTTGATACCCAGCTTAACAATAAGGTCATCGACCTGCTCCTTCTTTACGTTCATAATGGCATCGAACACCTGAATTTAAGATCTGCATACTATTCGAAAGTAATCGCCTTTTTAATATAAGAAAACATTCCGCCCTAGCATAAACGAACCTTGAAGATGGGGTCCAACACGAACTGACAGAAACCTCTCTTGGCACCGGCAGACTGTTGAGAGCTCCACTTCTTCGTCTTCAAGTCAAAGAATCGATCACCCCAGAGGTTCTTCATGAGTTTGTCAACCTAAAATTTTTTCGTGAATGAATGTGCTTCTGCAAACCGCTGACAGCGCAGTATCGAGCACAGCTTTCATGGCGCCATTCGGCCGGCCTAGATTTTCAAAGTCATGGATCTCAGTCAACCGTGAAGCGGGTTATTTCTAATTATTTGATGCTACATCGAATCACCACGGTAGGTGGGGATAACTGTTGGGTTAGGTAGCCACACCTGGGGGACAAAAAGTGGTTTGATCCGCGGGCTATTCGACCTGCTGATGAAGAAAACGCTAACCATTTACTTTGTGAGTCTTATCAGTATATGATTTGTAAGATTTCATCTTAAACCAGCAATGAAGCGTAACCTTAACCCATGCATATGGCAGGCGTAACCTATCGTAACCTCCTACGCAAACTCCTCAGGCCCTTTGATTTTCAGCCTTACCGTACCCCCACCGTAACCCAAAACTTTGCCCACCACTATCATTCTACAAAGTGGGTAAGAAAACTGTGACTGAGAGCCTCAAGATCACAAGCTTAAGCCGTTGCATCTAATTCTATACAGAAGATACACGAAAAAAAAGCTATTATATTGAAGTTTGACTCATTTGGTTTTCACGGCTCTAGCACGCTTTTTTTTTTCATCGCAAAGAAACATACAAATGGCGCGAACAAAGATCTTGTCTCAATCTATATTTAGTGCACTTTTTGTAGCTGTTTTTTCTCCCTAAAGTGCAGCCCAATCAATGGTGTGATACAAACGCTTTGACGACCTTGGAAGTTGCAGCGCACACGAAAAATCTTTTACCTGGACTCCGAACTTCTCGGCGTACATCTCTGAGAACTGCTTTAGGGTGAAAGCCCAGCCATGAAGACCGGAACCGAATCCGACATTTCCCACAGATGGATCGACCATGATAGCTCCCATTGGGCCATCGTCATCACCATACGTGGCGATAATAACGTTGATGTTTTCAACAATACGTTGGAATGTCTGGAAGAGTTCTTCAGCTCCCAACTGCAACTCAAGCAAAGCACGGTCCATTTTGTTCATGAAAAGAATCGGCTTGATTCTTTCCGCAATTGCTTGACGAAGTACAGTCTCGGTCTGGACACAAACTCCTAAAAAGAAAAAAAAACGATTTCGCAATATCAATCTTGGAAAGCTTAACATCATATATCGTGATTTCGCAATCGATCCATAACTGCCTGTTCTTAAAGTTTTCAACCTTTTGAAAACATCAACGTACCCGAAACACAATCAACAACAACAAGAGCTCCATCAGTAACACGAAGAGCAGCCGTTACTTCAGAAGAAAAGTCAACGTGGCCAGGTGAATCGATCAGATTAATCAAAAAACCATTGAACTTCTTCTTCTTGCCGTCCACCTCATTAGTCTCAATTTGGTTGTCTCCCTTGATGAAGTCAAGATCTTTTTCCTCAAGTTCGAAGAACATAGATATGGCACTGTAAGCAAAAGATTTTCGATGACGTCAAAGTACAAAAAAGGGAAAATTCGGACTTACGTCGACTTGATAGTGATACAACGTTCTTGCTCATCTTTTCGAGTATCAGTGAAACGCGTCTCTCCAGCTTTTGCACCGGCAATAATACCTGCTTTTGAGACTAGAGAATCGGTCAAGGTGGATTTTCCATGGTCGACGTGGGCGATAACGGACATGTTACGAATATTTTTTTTATGATCCATAAGCGCACGGATCTCATCGATAGTGAAGTTCACCTGAACAGCAGGAACTAATAAGAAGAGAAGTTGAGAAAGTAATGGGAAGAAACAAGCAAAAAACAAAATAGGACCTATGGACACACAAGGCACAAAAACATTACAAGGAAATCTTAGAATTAATTGAGGCAGCCAGCTGGAGATAAGATTGACTCACCATTTTTAAAGTTGTTTGTGTTGCTCACGGCAACTTCCTTGACGAAATTAACGAGGCCCACAACCGCACAAGCGAGGCGGCGTTCAAGTAGTGGAGCTGAAATGGAATGCGATTCTTGTCACGACGAACTGCACGGTTAAAGCGTTGCGATACGCAGCGATTACGGTAGGCGCCAGTTTCAAAGCGGCTGGCACCGAGCCAACTCGTGCACTCCGGCCACTTCAAAGTGCGTTCGCCTCACATTGCACAACGTTATGGAATTTCACTTTTTTATGCGTACATATCTCTCGCGAAAAGCGTTTCATGACGAAGAAAGAATCACTGCTGATCGATGAGTAGGTCAAGGATCTATGAATGCAAGACTTAGCGAGAATCATTTGTTGGAAAAAAGAGCAAATCGTAGGGTTTGGGAATCAATATCGGAAGTCGCTTACGCATCAAAAACCACTTTTATTGCTTGAATCAAGCCTGTTTCGTGGGTCTAGTCTGTAACGTATGTATACACTTTATTCGCCGTCTAATTAGAGTTCTATCGATTTGTTCTTAGCACTTCGCCTGTCTGTGACAAACACCTGATCTTCCACGATTTTTCATAATGAAATGATTGCATCGTGGGAAATGGGAGAAAACAGATTCTGTCTCGTTTCGTTTTCTAATAAAAAAGAGGAAAAATGAATGATTTTGAAGTTTGACATCAGCTGATTTGAGCCATTCGCCTACATCATAAGAGGAAATCATTGAGTCTTTGATATTGACGACGTTTTTTGCATTAGACTGCGGTTATCTTTCTTTAAAAATTCCATGTTGTTCAGTTTCTGGTGCGCAAAATAGGAGTCATTCTGCTGGTAGTTCATTTTTCATGATCCATTGCTCATCTTGCGATTTATTTTATAAATAGTTTCTCCAGTTTCTTCAATCCCTATCCATATTCTCTCAAAAATTCATTTCCAGGATGGAAATGGAGGTCACTAATGGCTATACTCTCGACGACACTGTAGATTCCCAAGCATCCCAAGCTTCGACCACTTCTGGATCCTCACTCGCCATACAGTTTTCAGTAGATGAATTACAAGAAAATAGCGCTGAGTTGCCTGCACCCTCATCATCGGAGACGATCAGAAACGAGGGGAAAACGAGAAGGTTGAACAGGCGTTTGGCTCTGGCTAATTTGCAACTTCCGAAGTTGACCATCAAGGAGGATAGCGTAATTGATCTATGCACAGAAGAGGTAATCGACTTGTCTTATCGAAGAACCTTTGGGAGTCTATTTTGTGAGTTTAAGGACAGAGCCGAGGACCTTGCTTGGTTCAAGAAGAAGTTTCCCAATTTAAAAGCAGATGAAGCAAATGCGAAGCATAACGGGTGAGTTCCGCTGCTCGTGAATGTGTTGAATCGGTGAAATCCTCATTTACAGGCTGACCAGTCCTCCTAAGAATCCAAAGAACCAACAGTTTCCCCATAGCGGTGAGTACCTTCGAATACCGTTTGGTTGATTTTGGTTATGGGTTTTTTGTATGAAAAGTGGTTGGGAAATTAACTAGATCATAGCCTAAGCGGCAGCCTATAAAATTCAGTCACGGCGGAGAAATTCGCCGTCAAACTCTTGTCCAGTACCGTACTCCATTTGGATGAGTCTCAGAGTACGGTAATGGACCAGAATCTGGAGTAGAGATCTTGGCTGGATAAAATCCATAAGTGTGGGCTTAGGCATTGGCTTAGATTAGTTAATCCTTCCAGTCCACCCGCATAAGAAGTCTAGATACCAAATTGCCTGAACTTTTTATACATTCTTAGACATTAAATTGTAAATTTAGTCGCCACTCAGCGTGCTGTAAAACAAGATCTTGAAAGGAAACTAGCGAAACGGAGAAAGGCAGAGATGGCAAAACGAAGAGAACAATACATGGAAGATAATGAGGGCTTGTTAGAGGACGAGGAAGAAGAAGTCGACACAAAAGATTCTATAAAACCGAAAAAGTCTGTTTGGCTTACTTCGCTTTGCAAGGTTAGCGCTCTTCAAATTGAATTTTGCAGGCGGGTAAAGAAACCAGTTGGTAGCGACGATGATAGTGAGAATGATGAGGACTATAACGGTGATGATGAAGAGGAAGAAGAAATTGATGAGAGTGGGTCAGATTCTGACGCCTCTTCTGGCGAAAATGATGGAAATGGCATGGAGGAGAGCGCAGACGAGCTGGACGACTCGAAAGTGAAGCGATTTTCATTATATTTCTGTAATAGTACAATTTTTACGTAAGAATTCTTAGGTAAGCAAGGCTAACGACGACTTACCGGAATCTGTTGACTTATTTGATGGCGCATCTACTGCTGGTAGTGCTAATAAAGATAGCGACCATCATAAAGTAGGATTTCAAGTCTTGGCTTTCATCTGTCAGAAGTTTCACTTGCAGGATGACTCTCCCTGTTGGACTGGTAAAAATGAGGATGGGTTCAAAAAGCCTGCTGTTTGCCCCACGCAGGCAAGTTTTTCTCCAGAACAAATTTGAAGGTATTGAAGATATTTAGGAGAAGGAGACGAGTGGGAGAAAGCTACATCCTGTCGAGGTGAGTATTTACCGTGCTTTCAAAACTTAATTTTCCACTTGATTTTCAATATTTGCTTCTCCTGCGTGGTGTGTGATCCCTTGAAAAGGTGTCTCCAAATCTTATTCGGCTGAATTGCAGAGCCTCAGTTTGATGTTGAATGAAAGCTTCGACACAGAAACACCCCCGATTTCACAGCCCACTTTCCCTAATTCACTTTCTCAATGGTTTGGAGACAAGTTAGTCATCCGGAACTAATATAATATAATGAATCGCATGCTTACTACTATAAATTCCAGGCCGTCAGACGAAGGTAGCGGTCAAGAGACCGAGGAAGTGTTGGCTAGCGAGCAGAAGCCTGGTATGTTGCATTGTGCTTATTTTTATCATTTCTGCACCAGTTTCCGGAATTTATGGAAGTGTAGACTATAGAAGTTTATAGAAGTTAGAATAGTTAGTTTATAGAAGTGTCAACTATTTTAAATGATGTGAACTGTCCCTCTATAAAATTGACTGATTCGCATTCATTTCAAACTTCATTTTAGAGTTCGTCAATATTGGGAGCTTCAGTGACATGGACCCTTTCAAGGACACTGGCGTAGATGACATGCTAATGTTGTGCTCTGGTCGGTTCGATACTCAGAATCTCACTCGTGAAAACACTGAAGCTGTAGGAGATGATTCGAAATCAAAGTATGTTTTTTCTTGAATCGGCTGTTCTCATCGTCGCCTTATTTGTGCTGGTACTTCTTAATCTTCACATTGCATTCTAACATTTTTTTTCATACTTGTTGGTGACATTTTGTCTTGAAGAGATGAGTGGTCGTCGTTGGCTGCGAACAGTTTATCAGTTGTTTCCATTGTCTATTGCTAGTTTTTTAGCCGACTGATTCACATGTTTTGCTTCGCTCTAAAAGCATGTTTTGTAGAACTATCACGAAGAATTTTGTTGGAATTCGCATGATGTGCAAGGATAGTTGGTGTTTTTTAGAGCATCCGATGATGAAGACGAAATACACAAGAGCACTAACCAGCTACAGAAACGGAAGCGAAAACTTGTCACATCTGATGACGAGGATGAATCCGATAAGGCGGCTGCTGGAATGGAGGATGAAGTGAAAGAAAAGGTGAGTTCCTCACACTTATATCTTGCGCTATGCTATATACTATTGCAGGGGGATGTTGAAGCAGTAACGGAAGAACGAAAGTCGACAGAAGAGGAAACAGAGAGCCTTACCCATCTACGGCGAGCCATTGTCGACTCTGATAGTGATGAGAACGCAGAAGAGCAGGAAGAAGTGGATCAGGAGAGGAACACTGCAGAAAACGAAACATTCTTGGAGGAGGAGCCAGATGTAGATGAAGAGGAAGAAATGGAAGAGAATGAAGAAGAGGAAGGCCAAGAGATGGAAACTGAAAAGAAAAGTACGGTAGACTGACGTTGTACAACGTATGTATTGTGACTACGACTATACTACTTGCAGCCAAAGACTACATTGAAGAAGAAGCCGAGGATTCCGACGATGAATTGGCCGTGATCAGAAGACTAGAAAGAAAGGAGTTCGAAAGAAAGTATGTTTTTGAATTTTTTTTAAAATTTTGTACGCTTTCGAAACGACGATCCATCAATTTCTCCAAGCATTAGGAGGGATTGTTTCTTACTGTGTATGTCCTTTTCCAGAGCAAATCGCGAGAACTGGTTCGATGACGAAGCTTCTCTGTCCGGTGACGATGTAGGAAGTGATGTTGATGAAGACGGTGATGTTGCCAATGAGTATGAAGCTGAAGAAGGTTTGCGCATTTCCAGTACGCTGTTGGAATTTTGATGGAACGCTTTTTCAGGAGATGCGGACAACCTACCCGACACGGAAGCTATCAGAAGGCAAAATCATAGGTTGCTGCTGAAGCAAGAGCAGGAGAGGGAGCATAAGGCATTGGTGAAACTTCAAGACAGGTACGGAGCTTATAAACTGCTTGATTTTTGATGGTGTTTTTCACAGAAGGAGAAGAGTATTCTGGCGCATTTTCCAGACTGTTGGCTGATGGGGATCTTGGTGGAACAGAGACAAACCGGACTTTCCGCTTGAAACTCCGTGAAGAGATAACTATAGCAGAAGGTGAAGAAGGCGAGGCCGAGGCGGTCGAAGAAGGAGAGGCTTCATCATCGCAAGCGCATGCACAACGAGTCAGCGCCATAAAATGGCTTATTGAACATGTGAGTGCTGTTGCTTTCTGAAAATGATTGCTTTTGGTTCTTCACAATTAGTCTATGCTTGAACGCTTATCAAATGTAACGGCTTTCTCTCACTTTTTTATTTTGAATTTCGGTATTTTATAGAAAGAAGAGTACGAAAAATTGGAAGACAAAGATGAAGATGACATTTTTGATGTCGCTACGCGATCAGTCAAGATCAGCGAAGTAACAGTGAACGTCGTTTCCAAAGCTCCGCGAACACTCCTAGGACAAAGCGGTCTCGAAAATGCTATCAAAGAAATGGCAGGTAAAAGAATATCATATTTTTGACCGCAATCTTTTTGTCCTTTTCGAGCTGCAAGTTCTAGGTACCACAACTGCCAAACAGCTGTATATGAATAACGCAAATGCGGCACTAAAACGACCTCCATCACCATCTTCAGCTTTCACTGTAGCCAAGAAAATGCGAAGTAGTGTTAGTGTACTAAGTGTATTAGAACAACAGTAGGTGAATATACTAACGAGCTTGTATAGTTTCCCGGGTCACAATTTTATATGCATTCCCATCTCATACACTCATTAGTATTTTAGTTACCATTGCACCGGTTCCAAAGTGATCGCACTGCTAAATTTCAAGTACAAACGAATTTATCCCATTTATTTGTTATTTTTATGAGCATTTGCTCCATTCCGAGATCTATCTCACCACGATTCTTATTTGAAATGCTTACCTATCTCTACTAATGATTTGCTCAAAGCTTGTCCTATCTCATACTTTTGTCATGTATGTATTTTTTAATTTGAAATAGTACAAAGTTTCCAGTCTACAACATTGTGAATGTAGAAGTAGTGAATAAAACTGTTGATATACTTATTTTATTGTTGTGACGGCTTGTTCCTCCTGTTTTCTGTCTGTTACCGCACTTTCTGGTAATTTGTTGTCAACTGGCACCGCTTCGTATAGCCATAGGAGTTGGGACATGCTTCGGTTAGCGCTCAGATGTGCCGCGCAAGTTCCTAGCACATGCGGCCAAGGTATGAGTTTTTTGTTTTAATTTGCTGTAACATCCTGCAGAAGTTGAGCATGTCTTTTCATCTGTCTTTTTCTTCCTTCCTTTCGTTTCTCTTTGATTAATTATCACAAAAGTTAAATTGACTGGAGTTTAGGGGCCACACGAGTTTATGCTACTGTTGGCAGTAAAGTTGTTCCTACCAAAATCGACAAAAGCGCCATAGAAGAAGATGCTGAGAAGCTTGCAAAATACGTCTGCATTAATTATCTTATCCAAGGTAGTGATTTGTTTGTTTAACAAAAGCTATATCGCTTCAGTATAGCTTCCAAAGCAAGACCTTTTTTGGTCAACGAAAAGTTTTCACTGCAGTTAGACATAATTACTCAGCATATTATTTTGAAGAAATTGATAGTAAGACAATATAAATCTCTTCTGATTGATAGGGGTTTTTTTGGATAAAATCTGCTCTCTCTTTCTAAAGTCATGTCCAAAACCATTTGCAATTTTTCTAGTAAAAATTTCAGTAATTTTTTGAACTTCACTAGCGATATGAAATTGCTGTTATGACACGCAAGGTTTCTCAGCATGATCTACTATGGTTTCATTGTAGGCGAAGAACCAGGCCCGAAGATCCTCCCGGACTCAGAGTACCCTTCTTGGCTGTTTGAACTAGATCTACGACCTCCACGTCCTCTCGAAGATCTAGATCCTGAGAAGGTAAAGCTTATTTATATCTGCAGTGGTGCGATACCTTGATTCTCTTTCTAGGATGGGTGGTTGTATTGGCGAGCGCTAAGGATTAGGCAGATCAAACAAAACCGGAGGATAGAAGAATTGAAGACTAGGTCAGATGACTTCTTCAGGTGCTATGCTTCATTGAACCATCTCATTTCAGGTTTTTGCACTTGCAAAATAGCCCAAGTATGAGGAAGTATAGGAGATGGTAGATCTATTCAAACATTGTAAGAACCATTTTCGTTTGAAGTTTGACACTATCGAAATTTATTATAAATGGAAGATAAATCAACTGAATATGATTTTTGAAGATATCTTGAGAAAAGACGCTCAATATTGCAAGTGAAAAGACGAGTACAAGCCAAAACTTCTATTAGGTATTTGCTTGATGACTACTTTCGTCATTTCGAGTTGCAGAAGTGCATGAATGTAACATATTTAAACTCTTTGTAATTGACTCGCAAATCTGCTACTGCTACACAATGAATCACTCAGTGCCCAGATTTGTGTACAAGCACCTTTATCTTAAGAAAGACGATAAATACTGTACATGACATATGAATATCGAATAATACTTACAAACATGTAACAACATAATATTAAACCAGTGCAGTTTCGTATTCCAGCCCGTAATGCTCCATTTGATCCGTGTTTATTTTGAAAGTTCCTGAAATGTTATCATCAGCCATCAGAAATTAGAAAAGTCGCCGGGGGAAACCGTCAAGCGAGGGAAATGAGTGTGTAACGATGAAGAAAAGCAGTATGGACCCTCTGGCGCGTATATACGGTAATCTACCGTAATCCTATCCTTCAAAGGCTGCACGCTTTTAAATCACTGAAGTCCAACCATTTCTTTGCATATGAGGCAATGTATACGATTTTCTGTGCTACCCTGCACATAAAATCTGCTACCGTAGCTTACTGTAGTGGTGTAAAAAGACCGTCCATTGCGGACAGGAACGGGCCTATATAGTAACAGTTCTGACCTGAATCTCCCCAATGTTCACCAAAACTGTTGATAGCGATCCAGTAATGAGATCCGTCATCTTCTTGACCCCATCCGATCAATCGGACCACATGCCAGTAGACGATACGATTTTGGAAACCTTCCGCCGGTCGGAAAACACCTCAAGAATGAAAGCTTACTGGAAGATATTCGGATTTTGAGGAAAGTCTACCTGTGTAATAATGGAGAAATTCTTCTGGGACAGGGAAAGCCATAGTAGTGGGACCATAGAGTGAGAGCTCTTTCTTGATTATGGTCCGTATCTGAAAAGTTGAGGATTGATTCCTCTTCTAGTCTTGTATTTTCAATATTTGGTAACAGAAAAGAGCGGTGCAATATCAAAATCATCTTGAACATCACCAAGACCAATAACAAGAGAATCTGTTTTTATAAACTCTTCCAAGTTATTCTAATAGTTCTAGGGATCTCGCATTGAAATTTTTCACAAGAAATTGTATGGCTAAAACTTACAAAACGTGATCGAAATGAATTATACGCATGAACGCTCCACAAGAAATCTGAAAACTTTAGATTTACTAAATCCCAAAGATACCTGTTCCAAAGTCAACGGTGGATTAGCCGTCGAGTTGAAATGTCCAATAATTGTTGGTACTTTTGCTCGTTCTACTTCTGGCGCATCCGCATCGCTTATCGTCATGCTTCGAGGATAGAGCGAATAGGCCAAAGAGGCTGAAGAACTCAATTTCTGGTGAGATTATTGTACAACGCAGCCCATTCCGATTACCGAAGTGCTTATCATCATCATATCTATTCTGATAGTAGATATTCTGACATCGCTTGACGCAGGTTCGAGACTTTTCTGCGTCGAAAAAAGTTTGCGGTGAACATGGCGCTCCACAAGTGATGTCAAATGTGTACGGTCGACAACCATCTCGGCCTCCTAGGAAAACATCAGGTTACTAACATTTTGAATAAAAACTGGTTAGGGAATCCTAATTAAACTATTGCCCAAGTGGCAGCTCATATGATTCATTCGCAGCGGATATATCCATCTCCAAGCTTTCGCCCAGCTACCGTACTCATCCCGCGCAAACTATTTCGAGTGCGGTTCTGGGCGAGATTTTAAGAGTTGAAAATCTCAACCACGAACCATTCATATGAGCTGCCGCTTGGGCAATGGTCTAATCAAGGCTCCCCGAACTTCTGAAATAAGAAACCCGGACTATCACAACTCACCTGTTACCATGCCTTGATTGACCCAGTAGACCATTGCTTTGAGAGGATCACCACCATAGCAGTTGCCACACACTTCACAACAACCCAAGACATCCTGATCACTGAGTGAAGCACGAAAAGTGCCATTAGACTGGATGCAAGCTCGATCAGAGGCTACTCCTGCAGCAGCTACTGCCTAGACAAAAAATTAGGACCAGTGCGCTCTGCTGTTGTTAAAAGCAAAGGTTTGAGCTGAACCGATTTCTTGAAAAAAGGAGAAATTAGCGAATTTTCCGATTTTTGCGTTGTAAGAACAAATTCATTCTTGCCAAAAAAAACTATTTTTTGGGAACCTGATTAGCTCTAGCAATCAAATCGAGATAGTCCTCAAAATGTCTGATAAAATTCTCCTCTCCCCCCCCCCCCCGCTGAAAGAATACTCACATAGCAACTTCCGCAACCACCTTGATTAGGAACCCGTGCAATTGATGGACATTGAGGCCATTTGAGTCGTGCATCAAAGTGAGTCGGTAAAGACGAGTCAGGGTAATCCGTAAGCTCTCTGAAGTTGTTAGAATACTGTTTTCTGATAAAATTAATAGTAAAATTGCCAGAAATACCCCAAGCACATTTTGGACCGCTCATGAGGGTCCCTGTCGCGGATTGCGCGACTTTTTCGAGGAGTCCGCTGCCCGCCGCGCAGAGGGTCCCAAAACGCCAGTCCTCGCGCGCTGCCCCGATCTCGCTCGCTACTAATGCCGCAACTTACCTTTTCAAAGTCACGTACGCCACATATGTCTACTCGCGAGCGGTCGGCTCCAAACTACTCCAACTATCGATCGATCAAGCTGCCTTTCCAACTCACGCGAAGAACATCACCACGCAAGGAGGACTGGCCCGTCGCCTCGAGGTAACCCGGTTGGTGCTTCTTGCTTGGCGCAGGGCAACGGAGTACCTCCGCGAGGTTTTCTTCTATCGGCCTCTAGGTAACATCTTGGCAGGCGTGTGCACATCCCATTGTACTGAGTTGTTTGTGTGTTGGTGAAGATCCGGATAAATGGTGGACACTTAAGAGTCCTAGTGTTTGATACGAATGTTGGGCTTAGGGCTTAGGCCTTGGCTCCAGGAATATCTGTGTGCTATCCATGTTTGTTGTGGTTTCACAATGTGTTGCGTCCTGGAAGGTTTCATTAGGTGGAGGACAGGCACGATTGTAGATAGTGCCCAAGTTGCTGAGAATCCACAACCGCCGACATTGTGTGGAACAGCTTGAGATAGCTGGCAGTTGAGATTGAAGGGTTAGGTTGGTAGCCTAGGGCCTCTAAGATACTAGTGTATCCGTGTTTGGCAGTCCATAGGAGCGTGGCGCAAGCTAGCTACCTTTCCCCAAGTGTCGTTACTTTATCTCACGGATGGAGTCCTCCACTCCTGTCGCCGATGCAGGAAAGCACGTTACCACTAACCTCTGGAGCTGGGGACCCCAATCCGCGACAGTCCCTTCATACCGCGCCGGCAGCCGCCGCTAGCCGCCCATAGCCGTTTTAGCGCACTATCCAGTATTCCAGGGCCTTTCCAAAACGTAGAAAGATTGAGTTATTCGTAATCAGCATATTGAACAAACCCATCAAACCAATTTGGGGAAGGTTCATAGTTTCAATTTTGCGATGCGGATACTGGGATAGTGCACGAAAGCGCTAGCGGCGGTTGTCGGCGCGGTATGAAAGCACCCTGACTGAATTGAACTTACTGAAGATGTTGCTTCATAGCGTCAGATTTGAAGAACTTCTCCAATTCTACCATAACTTCTCGAACTGCAGTGGAGTTCCTTGTGTATTTGAATCCATATGATCGATCTTTGACTCCGAATTTGTTGAATTTTGCCTAAAAATGAGGCAGCAACAAATGAACTCCAACACTACGACGTCAATTTGGTCATCAGGCTGCATGTAGAGTGGCCGGTGCCAGCGCCCTTCCAGGCCCGTGCCGAAATTGTGCCGGTGAGTCGATCGCCTAATAGCAGCTCACCCACGTGGATTCCGGCACGGAGCTGGAACGGCACCCGCATAGATAACTCCCGACGCAGCCTATACTCGATAATAAAATTCCGAATAATTTCTGCTTCCTTGCTTCCCTTGCTACGTCAGCATAGTTTTATCGTTTGCTCACCTTCCAAGTTGAACTAGAATTGTCGTTAATCTGCCGGACGAGTTTTCTTAAGTACTCATCTGTGCTACCGTAATCTTCCAAATTATCCGCGGCTCGTAAGTACATCATTGCTACGACAGATAGTATTGCTATGCCTGAATTAACCATAGTTCTTCAATGGGCAATAAGTGCAATCAAAAATAAAGCAAAAAGGCGCCCAGAGTTAAGTGTGCCAGCGCCGTGCCGAAACGTCGATCGATCAATAAAGATCGCACGTAAGTGGTTCCGGCACGGCACTGGTACTGTGTCGGCACGCAGCCTACTCTGGACACTGCATTATGGTTGACACCAGAATTTTGAGAAACCGCTCAGCTACTCATTGAAACAACCTAGCACAGGCAATGTCATTCTTAAAAGAAGCTAGTTTCTGAATTTTTAAGAATTTTTCGTGCACGAACATCATTGTGAATGAATGATTTCTGAGGAAACTTACCAATTAGAGTTAGTATAATTGCGCTAACAAGAAGACATCGATTCCGACTCCGTGTTGGATCTTCGCCACGGATCCGTCGTTCCTTTTCTGGCATTCCTGTAATAATCTCATTGTTACTCAAGAGCTCAACATTCATACATTCTCTTCCAAGCAGATGTAAAAACAGCTTATAGACTGGTGATAAGATTAGAAAAAAAGGAAGAATGGAGGGGGGAAGCAAAGGGGTACAAGGAAGCGAGAAGCAAAAGAAGTGCGGTTGCGTAGTAAGATTTGTGAGAAAGATTGGGGTACAAAATTTTTTTTACAATTGCCCTTTTGTTTCAGGTGTCCTTGAATTTTTGAAGAATTAGTGCAACAACTTATCATTGAATCTTTTCTAAATCTCACGATTTTTCTGCAAAGTCGGATGATTTTTTAAGTATCAAAATTATAAGAGATTTTTAAACTAAATTCGTTATGGGCAATTATTGAGGACGAATGACGTCCAAACACTATATCATGGGTGGACCTCATTAGTTTCAAAATTGAATAGATTTTACTCCCAGATAATTCCTTCGGTTTAAACATCTTTGTGATATTATGCTGTCCTCACTTTTCCCTTCATATTATATTTTTTCGACACGACTCCAAAACAAAACAGTGATTTCCAGGCCCCTTCCTTGCAAATTCAATCGTGCTTGGTGACGTTAAGTTGAAAGATATTCAAAGTGCTTCACTAGCCAACATGTACTCGGCTTTCATCTATCAAACATGACGTAGGACAGCATGATCTTGATGATGAAAGATCTCTGATGTCATCTTGAACGCATTATTCTATTCTTGTGACTTTATTAGCCATCTAAACAGAAACGGGACAAACATGTCAGCTGAGGGGAAAAAGACAAAATGATATTTCGTAAAGGAAGTTTGATGGCAGTAGTAAGTCAAATTTATCAGTTCGGTGCTCTGAAAAATAGACATAGAGTATGAATGTCAAAGTAGATTTAGCCCCAAGCATTTTAATAAAAAGAAAAAACAATTTTACATGTTTTACTCCGTTTCGTCCTTTTCTTTAGACGGATGAGATCTCGACCCTCTCCGCGCCACATCAGTAAGGAGAGGGGGTCTAGTTTAATTTACAAAAGATTTCTTGAGAAAAATGTCGTCTAAGGTTCTCTAATTAAGTCTCTTCGCTGAACCTCTATTCGAGGTTCACTTTGTGTGTTATATACTCTGAAGTAGATTACTTGCATCATGACTATACTACACAGGCTTAGATGCTTGAAATTTTCAAGATGATGATATCGAAAAATTTTCCAAAAACTATTTTTTTCTATAAACTCATCATCACTGAAACAGATCTAACAAAGAAGCGGCTTACAAATAAGATGCATATTCTGCAGTTTACTATGCTAAAAAAACTTGGAATTGTTGAAAAAATACATTATTTTTAATTTCTTGACTTCTCCTTGATTTCTCCTTCCGTAAGGCTCTAGAGAAGGACTCCCGACGTTCATGGCACTATGTAGAGAGTCGAAGCGTTTGAAAACTATCAGATCGACACCATACCAGTAGTGATTAAAGAAGATTTGTAGTAACTGCAAGAAGAAACCATGATTACCGTAGCCTTCATGAAATTTTAAAGAATGAAACATATAGAAAGGGCAACTAAAATCAAACTATGAATACAATCTCTATCTCCGTCAGACAAGTATCGAGTTCTTTGTTCTATCCATTTTTGTGCCCCTTCTTTGACTCAAGTTTTGAAGGTAAAACCAACTTTTTGTGAGGTTGCTTATGCCATCTAAAAGCGCCTTCGTTTTTAGTTTTTGCAAGCTCTCTTTTTCATACTGCTCTATCCAATTGGCAGATCCTTACCTTGAAAGGACACCATTGATCCATAGACAGAAAACATTCAATTTACTGGTTGTGCTATAAATCAGCGTGATATGAATTTATAAAATATTATATTATTATTTGAACCTGAGGATTTTCAACATAAACATGACATTTCACTGCGATTATTGTATGTCGCGTAAAAATTGTATGCGCAATATGATCACGAAAGCCCCTAGCCTATTATTTCTCAGTTCTCAGCAGCAAAAAAAAAATCGAAAAGGGCATTTTTTTGCCATTTGAGAGTAAGCGATTTTGGCGAATATTTTCACATTTCTTACAGAAATTTTACTGAGGAAAAATTTGCACCGACACTAACTGCTACACAAAGTTTATGTTGACCTAACACAGTCCAGATTTTATGGTTCCTCAAGTAAGCTTTCAGAAAAGGAGGTTTGTGATCATTGAGTAAGAAGATTTTTCTCCTAGTTGCTGAGATAAACTTTGGGTATAAATCGACATTTGACAGCAACCAATGTTCAATTGTGAAAAAAAATTTGGTGACTTGAAGAAAAACTTTAAAAATCTGTAGAACTTTTGGGACTTCCCAACAGTAAGCTGGTTATTATCTGACGGACAAGGAAAGGAAGCTTAGTAGAAGTGGCTTTTTGATGTAGTAGGACGGATAATGACTTGAAGAGGTATGAAACGCTGATTCCAAATCTACCTTCCTTATCTGCTACGGGTTCCTGGGCGAGGAGCTGCGAAGGTTCATGAGCAAAAATTTGTATGTGCTGCGGATAAAACCAGTCGTAACATTTTTTTTCTACGGCTCGAATGATTTTTAGGTTACTCTGTGAAATAAAATTTTTAACGAGCTCATCCCGGGTTCCATCCCGTTCTAGAGCCTCCATCGTTCCTGACATCTCTTATAGCCACTTACCCTTCTTTAATTCCGACTCCCTTGGGTTCGCTTCCTACCGTGCCTACCATATCTTGATGATCAGCAGATCAGAATGAGCTTCACCGCTCATCCTTCATGGCTATGGGGATTGTGCAAAGAACACTTTATACTTTTATGACTCGCCACAGATTGTCTGCTTTATGTATATAGATTTAAGCATACGCTTAACTCTGCCATTTCGGAACACTAAGAAAAAACAACTGATTTTACGCTGGTCATGCATTGGATTTTTTGCCCATAAATACCTTCAAAACTCCTTGCTCAGAAATCCGCAGCAGATGGGAAAGGTATGATATCAGCGTTTTGTACTTTTCAAGGCACTATCCATCTTATATTGAAAAGCCACTTCGACTAACCTTGCTTTCCTTGTGAGTAGATAACAAAGAACAACCACTTCACCGACTGCTAATAATAAGTGCACTCTTTGAGAAAGGACGACAGACCATATGGAGCTTTGAGATGTTTATACTTTTATGACTCGCCATAGATCAGTGCACAATATGTGCGACAGAGATGAGAAGAGATTATTTGATGAAGAAAGAACAGATGACATCTGGCACGAAAAGGTTATTCACAGCCAGAGTGCGAAGCAAAAAAAAACGCATACGTGATTATGGGCTGCTTCAGTATAATAAATTTACTAGAGGATAACAGGTACACTTTGTAATTTTTGTATTTTAGTGCTTTTTGATTTATGCTAGGAGCATGTGTTGGAATAACCACGAACATATGCAGCAAGGTGGAAAGCATTGAAAAAGGTTGCACTTCCTCGAAGGACCACATAACTCAATTTTCTTCTTTGTGAAAATATAAGAATGCTTGCAAGACTAACACCTTTCACAAGCGAGAGTTCAGGTATGTGAAAAAAATTAGATTTGATCGAAAGTGAATCTAACAAAGTAAGTTAGTACTCTTGCAAGTACATTATGTGGAGATTTGAAAAATATAATTTGAGGTCTGCTTGAAAAACTGGGAATCTTAGAAAATTTTTTTTCATCTTCATTCCTATCCTTCACACAGCCGTCAAAATTACAGCGATAAAACTCAAAATTTTGATATTTTCGTCGCATTATATATCCTTATGCCAACAAGTTGTGCTGGATTTATTAAGCCAACTTTTCAAAAATCGCTTTTTGTGATTTAAAGAGAGAGATTGCACAATGTAAAAAATGGAAAAACAAAAAGAAAGATGCTCACGTTTAAAGTAGAGAGCATATGAAAACCCCAAAGATAATTTTCAAGTACCAAAAAAGAAGCTAAAAACACATATGATGAACGGAAATGCAAGCACAAACAAAACAAGAAGTAGGAAACAAAAACAAGTTTTCTTTGGATTAAGTAACACATTGGCTAATATGACCGGTCGCTTTATGATCAGTCAAGTGACCGTTTAGTCAGCGATCAGGACTTTCTGAAGCCCTTCGAAGGAGTGAAAAGGTTGGGTATTGTAAGAACATCTGGCTGTCTCGGATTTTGGCCTGAATTGCATGCTGAAATTAAAGGTGGAGTTTGCCATTCTTTGAGCGGAGTTTGCCATTCTTTCACGATTTCCTGGATTCCCAGCTACGAAAAAATACGCAAGGATTACGACTTTCTTATGTTTGGTCCATAGAATTCCCGGATAGGTAACTGCTAAGCAAACAATTTATAACTAGTCAAGTGTCATTCGTTTTCGCTACGCAGCTTTTGGAGTATGATGGCAAACACTCCTCTAACAACCAAGTAAACTCGCAAATTGACAAATCTGCGCTGGAAGAGAATCTCTCAAGTATTTTGTGTACAATTGTGAAACAATAATAATGTAAGATGTACAAGTGTAGAAACTCAATCATATTTTTGCTTCTTTGAGAACGGCATCAATTTTTGGAACAATACCACCAGCAGAGCAGCGATAAGCCGATATAGCTTTTATGGTAGGATTACTGTAGGCTTCTCAGTCCCTGTCTCAGCGCTCCACGTTTGTGTTCTGGATTTTCATATTTTGCGACATGTGAACGAAGATTCGAAAATTAAAATGCAGAGACTTTCTCCAAATTCTAATTAAGTCACTCTTTTGCAGGCAAGAAATATAAATGGCAAAGTTTGTAGCAAATTTTCTGGAAGTTTCCTCTCAAGGATCGTTCATGATAATGTGTAAACAGGATAAAGTCCATATTTTAGTTAATTAAATCAATTTTTAGTTATGGTTAGAATTACACAGTTACTGCGCAAATAAAAAAGCCAAATTACAGCACTATTTTGCTTTGGCTTATATTAGCTTAGCCTTTTTTTTACCAGGAGATTTTGAAGAAAAATATCACAGTTAAGTCACTTACAC